AGTGTAACAGATAATGTTAGGGATACACGAGTGCGAGTGGTCTGCAGTTAATTTACCTAGAGTTTAGTTTTGAGCTCCTTGAGAGAAGAAATCATTTCTCATTACCTCTGCATGGTATCTCTTGTACTCTCTTACAGTATTTTTAAAATGACAACTTTATTTAAATATCATTTGTAAATCAGAAAATTTGCCCACTTAAAGTATACAGTTTTATAGTTTTGAGTTTGTTCACCGAGTTGTACAACTATCACCAGTATCTGATTTTTAGAACACTTTCATGTTCCAAAAGGAAAACTTGTACCTACTAGCAGTCACTCCCTACTCTCCTCTCCCTTCTGCTTCCTAGTCCTGGGAAACCAAGAATCAATTTTGTGTTGCTATGAATTTGTTTCTTGAGGACATGGTGTAGCATGTGCTTTATTCCTTTTTTTTTTTTTTTTTTTAGCTGAATAATAACCCATGTATGGATACATAGCATTTTTATTCAGTTCATCAGCTGATGGGGATTTGGGCTGGTTCTATTTTCTGAATGTTATGAATAAGGCTGTTAAGGCCACTTGTGCACAAACTTGTGTGTGGACTTGTTTTAGTTCTCTGTGGTATATGCTTAGGAGTGGAGTTGCCAGGTTCTGTGGTAACTCTGTTTCATTTGATGGCCTGCAAAGCTGTTCTCCAATGTGGCTGTGTCATTCAACATTCTAACAGCCAGTCTATATGTGGATCAGTTTCACTGCATCCACACTAATGATTGTTACTCTATGTCTTTTTTATTTTAGCTATCCTTGAGAGTGTGAAATGGTATCTCATTGTGTTTTTTATTTAAATTACCCAACTGAAGGCAGTGCTGAGCATCCTTTCATGTGTTGATTGGTCATTGATAACATCTTTTTGGGAGAAATGTCCATTGCCCATTTTTGAATTAGCTTGTCTTTTTTTTTAAGTTGTAAGTGCTCTTATTTTCTGAATATATGTCTCTTATCAGAAGTATGATGTGCTAATATTTTATTCACTTCTGTGTATTGGCTTTTCACTTTTTAGGAAACTATAACAACTTTTTCATTCTAATCATTTGTAAGTGTACAGTTTAGTGACATTAAATGCATTTACAGTGTTGTATAACCAGAAAGAAACTCTGTCACCATTAAACAATAACCCCCATTCCTGCCACCTCCCACCCTGATAGCCACTGTTCTGCTTTCTGTGCCCCTGAATTTGCCTATTCCAGATACCTTATACAGGCAGAATAATTTCACATTTGTCTTTTTGTATCTGGTTTCATAATTTGTGTTGTAGCATTTATCAAGATTTCATTTTTGTGGCTGAATCATATTTTATTGTTTATGTATATCACATTTTTTTATCCATTCATCTGTTGGTTGACTGTTGAGTTGCTTCCACCTTTCCACTACAGTGAATAATGTGATAAGTACTGGTGTGCAGTGTCTGGATCTGTTTTCAGTCCCTTTGGATACATGTCTGGGAGTCCCATGGCTTGGTTTATGGAGATGGTGTTTAACTTGCTGAGGAACTCTCACCCGTTTCCCACGGCAGCAGCAGACATATTTTCTAAATGTCTTTTCTTTTTCCTTTTTTTAAGTTGCCTTTGAGGCACAAATCTGTAAGTTTTGGTGACATCTTTATTTTTTGTTTGATTACTTTACCAAGATCATGAGGATTTATTCCTGTGTTCTAACACTTCTACAGCTTCATTCTCACCTTTGGGCCTGTGATTGATTTTGAGTTAATTTTTATTTCTACTGTGAGAGAGGGGTCCAGCTCCATTCTTTTGTGTGAGAGTATGAACTGTCCCAGCACATTTGTTGAAAAAACTGTTCTTCCCCCCAGTTAGTTGTCTTGACGCGTTTTTAGAAAGCCAGTTGACCATAAATGTAAGCCTTCCTTTGTGGATTCTCAGTTTCATTCCTTGATATTTATCCTTAAACCATTACAGCATCTTGATTGCTATATTCTTGTGGCAAAGTTTGAAATTTGAAAGTGAGTCCTTTCATTTGGTTCTTATTTGCCAACATTGTTCACCCATTCTGGATATGAATTTTAGGATCAGATTGTCAATTTCTGCTTTTAGTCTGTGGACTAGCTTGGGGAACGTTGCCATCTTCACAATATTAAGTCTTTCAACTCATGAATATCATGCAGAATTACTGAATTCTAATCAGCTCACTTATTTTTCTCTTTCATCATTTCTCACTTTTGAGAAACAGCTTTAACTTCTGCCCATCCACATTCTCTTGTTTCAAAATGTGCAGCCATTACTTCTCTCCAGCATTACCTGTTCCCCTCTTCTCATCCTGATTCCTCTGGGATCTTGTCCCTTTGATTATTCACTGTAATGATTCTATTTCAGTTTTAGTTCAATCTTCATATCCATCTGTGTTCTCCACTGGCACTCTGCCTTTAAACAGTTCAGCCTCTTCATCCTTTACAGGCTGGAACTCTTGCCTGCCTCGCCTCCTGTTACTCACCCTCTCCTTTTTCTCATTTCCTTTGTCTCCAGACTTCTTTAATAAATGATCTTCTCTCCCTGCTTCTGTTGCTTCATTACTGCTCATCAACCCCTTGGCCAGGTAACTTAACTTTTCTGGACTTTATTATTTCTTTCCTGTAAAAATTTTTGGCTTGGTCTAGGTACCTTGGGTTTAACCACACATACTATCTCAGCTTAGGTTCCAACACTTCCACGCTTTATGAATCACACCAGCTCATTGTTTCATTTTTCATTCTAATACAGTGATCATCATTTATGCCATTCATTGGCACTTAAAATTGCACCAATTATTTTGAACTACGTTGTATATAATTTAGGTCTAGATTCTGACCTAAAGAAATATAATCTAGTAAAGCATAAAGATGTACAAAGTTGTTATTGAATTTGGAGAATGGATGCTGTAGGAGCGGTACAGATAGAATTCTGTGGAAATAGAAGGAAACTAAAGATAGCTTTCCTTAGGAGAAGAGGCCAAAGTATCCCAAAAGCAATGGGTTGGGTCTTGGAGGGAATGTAGGAGCTGAATGAACACTTGGAGATGGACATTTCTGCTGGAAGGAAGAGTCTCATTCAAAGCAGGAGTAGAAGAGAATGATATGGTAGGTGGTTTGGTTTGGTTGAAGAAGGTGCTGCAGAAGGGAAATCATATGTATATTTTGTTTTCCCGATTAAGTTTTGGAAGACAAGAACTAGGTCTTATACGTTTAATCTCCTACAAAATTGCTGTGGATAGAGTAGCAGTATTCAGTACACTTTTGTTGAATATATAAAGTAGAAACAATAGTTTCCTGAATAAGCATTACTCAGGGTAACTTTGTTTTTTTGATCTATATTTATTTACTTGAGAGGCAGATAGACAGAGATGGCTCCTATCTACTGGTTCACTCCCCGATTGCCTTTAACAGCAGGGGCTGGGCCTGGAAAAGCCAGGAGCTCAGACTAGCTCTCCCATGTGGCGGGCAGGCACCAAATTACTTGGGCCATCACTGCTGCCTCCCAGGGTCTGGATTAGCAGGAAGCTGAAATCAGGAGGGAGAGCAGGGTCAAACTCGGGCATTCAGAGATGGTATGCGTGCGTCTTAACCACTAAGCTAAATTCCTGCTTCTAAGGGTAACTTTTTCTTACACCATTCTGTTTACTTAGACTCTAGTTTTACCAGTAAAAACTATTTTGAGCTTCATAGTGATGGTTCATTATAGCTAAGAAGTCCTTAGGGAATTTAAAAAAAAGAAGTGGTAGGTGGGGGCTAGTTTTGTGTCCAATTAACATGATGTAGTTAAATTCATCCCCTGATGACATACATGAAAAATGCTAATGAGAGTTGAGAAAAAGAATTGATATAAACAAAACTCGACTTGTGAAATTTAGTTTTTAAACTTTTTTATGTTTTAACAAATTAGATTTTTAAGAATATTTTCCTAGGATTTGGATTTCATTTAACCATTTCATTTATGGTTAAATGAAATCCAAATTAAGAATTAAAAAGCAGTTCAGATTTCTATTACAGAATTGTGTCGGGCTGTGCATGACTACATACTTTAAAAAAGTTCTGTGGCGCAGTGAGTTAAAGCCCCTGTCTAAAGTGCCAACATCCCATGTGGGCGCTAGTTCAAGTCCTGGCTGCTCCTCTTCCAATCGAGCTCTCTGCTATGGCCTAGGAAAGCAGTAAAGGATGGCCAAGTCCTTGGGCCCCTGCACACACGTGGAAGACCAGGAAGAAGCTCCTGGCTCCTGACTTCAGATTAGCTCAGCTCTGGCTGTTATGGCCATTTGGGAGTGAACCAGCAGATGAAAGACCTCTCTCTTTCTCTGTGCCTCTCTCTGTAACTTTTTCAAATAAATAAAAATAAAATCTTTTTTTAAAAAAAGTTCTAAGATAGTGGTCTATGCAGTTGAAAAATGATTAGAAACATTAGTCCTCTTCTGGAAGAATGGCTGTATTACTGTAAGTTCTCTAGGGAAGTAGGTACATACATAGTGAAAAGGCAGGTAAATGGAGTATATTTTTTATTTGAAAGGCAGAGTAACACAAAAAGGGAGAGAGAGAAATTTTCTATTGGTTTACTCCCCAAATGCCTGAAACAGCCAGAACTGGATCAACTCGAAGCCAGAAACCAAGAACTCCATCTGGGTCTTCCACATTGTTGGCAGGAACCCAAGTGCTTGAGTCATCCTCTGCTGCCTCCTGGGTACTTTAGCAGGAAGCTCGATGGGAACCAGGAGCTCCAAACAGTGGCTTAACCTGTTGCGCCGTGGTACCCACCCCCAGTCCTTCTAATGACACGTGCTGATCCTTTTCATTTTTATGAAACAAAATAGACTTGCCAAATTTAACTGAAAGATATTCTCATAACAGGGGAGACTTTTTTGTCATTTAACAAGAGCCAGTTATCATAACTTTGAAAAACCATTTATTTTAGCGATTCTTATAGTAAAGCAGTTCATTAATTTACAATATTTGTTTTATTTTAAATTTTGTATATCACCAACTAGGTGAGAAACCATTTCGCTGTGATGAGTGTGGTATGAGATTCATACAAAAATATCATATGGAAAGGCATAAGAGAACTCATAGTGGAGAAAAACCTTACCAGTGTGAATACTGTTTACAGGTAAGAGAAATAGCCTGATATTTTTCCGCCCTAATTGAATTACAGAATAAATCTAATAAGTCTAATTAAAAAATGCAATATACTACTAGAACCATTCGAGAAAGTTTGTAGCTCTTGTTGATTAGATTTATAATAGTTGGCTCAGCTATTTTGCTTGCAGTGTATTATTATTATTATTATTATTATTATTATATAGCTTTATATTAATGGCTTTATTTTTTTTTCTTCTCTTTTCTTGGTTAACCAAAAATACCAAAAAAAAAACCAAAAACCTACTTGCGACCTCTAAATTCGGCAGTATTTTTCCAGAACAGATCGTGTGTTGAAACATAAACGTATGTGCCATGAAAATCATGACAAAAAACTAAACAGATGTGCCATCAAAGGTGGCCTTCTGACATCTGAGGAAGATTCTGGCTTTTCCACATCACCAAAAGACAACTCACTGCCAAAAAAGAAAAGGCAGAAAACTGAGAAGAAATCATCTGGAATGGACAAAGAGAGTGCTTTGGACAAATCTGACCTGAAGAAAGACAAAAATGATTATTTGCCTCTTTACTCTTCAAGTACTAAAGTCAAAGATGAATATATGGTAGCAGAATATGCTGTTGAAATGCCACATTCTTCAGTTGGTGGATCACATTTGGAAGATGCATCAGGAGAAATACACCCACCTAAGCTGGTTCTCAAGAAAATTAATAGTAAGAGAAGTCTGAAACAGCCACTGGAGCAAAATCAGACAATTTCACCTTTATCTACATATGAAGAGAGCAAAGTTTCAAAGTATGCTTTTGAGCTTGTGGATAAGCAAGCTTTGCTGGACTCGGAAGGCAATGCTGACATGGATCAGGTTGACACTTTGCAGGAGGGGCCCAGTAAGCCTGTGCATAGTAGTACTAACTACGATGACGCCATGCAGTTTCTGAAGAAGAAGCGGTATCTGCAAGCAGCAAGTAACAACAGCAGGGAGTATGCGCTGAACGTGGGTACCATAGCTTCTCAGCCTTCTGTAACACAAGCAGCTGTGGCGAGTGTCATTGACGAAAGTACCACAGCGTCCATATTGGATTCACAGGCCCTGAATGTGGAGATTAAGAGTAATCATGACAAAAATGTTATTCCAGATGAGGTACTACAGACTCTGTTGGATCATTATTCCCATAAAGCTAATGGACAGCATGAGATATCATTTAGTGTTGCGGACACTGAAGTGACTTCTAGCATATCAATAAATTCTTCAGAAGTACCTGAGGTCACCCCATCAGAGAGTGTTGGATCAAGCTCCCAAGCATCCTCATCAGATAAAGCCAACATGTTGCAGGAATACTCAAAGTTTCTGCAGCAGGCTTTGGACAGAACTAGCCAAAATGATGCCTATTTGAATAGCCCGAGCCTTAACTTTGTGACTGATAACCAGACCCTTCCAAATCAGCCAGCATTCTCTTCCATAGACAAGCAAGTCTATGCAGCCATGCCCATCAATAGCTTTCGATCAGGAATGAATTCTCCACTAAGAACAACTCCAGATAAGTCCCATTTTGGACTAATAGTTGGTGATTCACAGCACTCATTTCCCTTTTCAGGTGATGAGACAAACCATGCCTCTGCCACATCAACACAGGACTTTTTGGATCAAGTGACTTCTCAGAAGAAAGCGGAGGCTCAGCCTGTCCACCAAGCTTACCAAATGAGCTCCTTTGAACAGCCCTTCCGTGCTCCATATCATGGATCCAGAGCTGGAATAGCTACTCAATTTAGCACTGCCAATGGACAGGTGAACCTGCGGGGACCAGGGACAAGTGCTGAATTTTCAGAATTTCCCTTGGTGAATGTAAACGATAATAGAGCTGGGATGACATCTTCACCTGATGCCACAACTGGCCAGACTTTTGGCTAAAAAAATATGTAAATATTACTGGCACTTTAGAACAGATTAATTAAGAGAGTGGGGTTACTCTGTGTAAAATGGAGTGCTGTACAGATTTAAGAGCAACGCGTTATAACAAGTTAAGCTGATATGAATAGCAAGATAATCCAATTACTGCATTTTGTTTGGTTAGTCAGCATTCTTTGAACTGCCTTACATGTTGTCACCTTTATAGAAGCAATGCATTACTTGTTTTAGATCAGAAACTTGCTATTCCACCTACACCAAGTTAAAAAGGAAAAAAAAAAAAAGACTTTCGCACAATTGTTTCCTAACTTGATAACATTGTACATTCTTAGGAGATTAGTAATTGTGTGAAATTTACTCATACTGTTTCTAAGTTTTTCAGCATAGTCATTGCACTTCAGCAGGGAATCTGAGTATACTTTATAGACAGAGTGAACTTAAAAAGTTTAAATGTCAAGAGATTATGGCTTAAATAAATTAGTGTGTCCTTTGGGGAAGAAAGAAACCAAGAAACCACCTTTTAAAAAGAATGATATGCCATATACCCTTGGTTTTCATTTTGCATTATATTGACATGTGTTTTTTTGAAGAAAAAAAGTAATAAAAATCTGATAGTCTAAGACTCCACTATTTAAAAGCCTAATTACTTTTAAAATATGCATACTTTCAAAACTTTTACCAAAATACACAACTGTTGAAGCATTCACTTCTCTATGGAAGTATGCATATTGGTGTCAGTTTCTTTGTACAGTTGTACCTAGATATTTTTTATGATTTTTCATGTGCAGGTATCAAGGTTTTGAAGTTTTAGTAAAAAAAAAATAAATAAATACTCTGTAGATGACATTCCCAAGAACATAATGCTTACATAAAATGTATATTCCACGTTTTAAAGCTTAATTGTATTTTACTTTACATATACACTTCAGTTAACATAGAGCACTTAGAATCTATTTGGTATTTTTGATTTCTCAAAGTGAAAAAAATTAGATTTTTAGGTTTGATATGATTGTGTCATAATCATCTCATAATTGACAATTTTAATTTTTGGCAATAAAAAGAAATTGGGATATCTTTGGAACTGTAAAACCTGGTTTAATCCTTCTCTTTCTAGAATCTTAATAGATTGGATAATTAAGCAGTATCCAGAGAAACTAAAGAAATGGGCATTTTAATTGCTTATTTTATCTTGAGTTACTTTTTAATGAACACTGCTCATTACAATTTTACAAACCAAAAGTGTTTACTAATTCCAGTAACTAATATTTCTTTTTCAGCTAGATAAGTGATCGGAATTTTTTTGTTGCATTTCAAAATCTAAATAAACTACAGACTTTATCCTTATACCATGAATGTTTTTTTTTAATACTTTGTCTTAAAATAATACAGCATGGTACAATAAATAGTGCTTTTATATATATATAAATATATACTTTTCTGAAGAATGATGGTTTGAGTTACACATTGGACAGTTTTGATTTTTGGAAAATAACATTAGTTATATTCTATTATCTTTAATTTGTTCCAACTTTTTGTGTTTTAAGTTTCTGCCATCTTTGTGACAATGCACATACTGATACAGCACCAGTGATAATCTAAAATCAATAGTCTTGGAAGACGGGACTTTATTGTTAATCTCCATTTTAACTTTTATATTGGCCCTGTAGATGTGCATTCTTGGTTTCAGTGTAGAATATGTTATCCAATTAAATTATTTTCTTTTTTTTATTTAATGTTATCTTATCCCAAGACTGTTCTCATAAAGAAAGGGAACAAAGAAATATCCACCCTTAACGTACTTCACTTATATTCACTTATTTTGAATATATTGGTGTTTTTTATTGTAAGGAATATAAGTTATGTTTAATGTGGTTTCCTCTATACTTTGGTTATTAAGCTTTGCTTGAAATAGTAGTTTTCCCATTTGACAGCTTTCTCTGCTGCCAAATTTTTTCAAGTATTTTAGACTTCTTTGAAGTAAATATTTAAGTCCTGCCATTGTTGACTCTTACAGTTGGTGTGTGTGGTGCATCACAGACTTGCAGGAAGGCCTCATTCAGGCGAGATGCTAACGCGGAGCACCGGCACCGTGCCCCACTCTGCAGAGGCCTTCGTGTTTTTCCTGGAGACCTTTGAATGAGAGTAGGCATTTAGCTCCTGAGTTTGATCTCTTTTGAGCCTGATGAAAAATTTTGTTCCAGTTGAGAACTCGCTGTAGTTCTTGGTACAGTGTAAAGCTCTTTGTTTAACATCACCAGCACAGTTCTAAGAATGTGACTCTATTGCTGAGTTAGGGTAAGCTTGAGAAGAAGGACCTTTGACAATGGTAGCCATGCAAGCAAAATTTCAGGTGTTGCATTCCTGTCAACACATTTCTTTAAATCTACATATTGGCAGACTTTTCTACCAGGTTATAAGCATTTTTGAGATACATGATACTTAGCCAGCATAACTTACTGACTAACCATTTAAGTATAGTCATCACTCTCTTACTGTGAAATGCTGAATGCCTACCAGACTTACCTTGTATTATCATCATATGATAAACATCTCAACACTTTGGGTTTCCCACTTTGGTTCAGAAAGTTATTTGATTTCCATCTGGGCATTAATAGAGAAAAGAAGCAGCCTTGGGTGCTGCTTTAAACAGAAACGTGGAGGATATGAGGTATCCTTTTGTAATTCACGCTTCTCATTTCTCACAGCGAGCAAATTGTTCTGTGAAAGCATGCTCTTACACACCCTTAAACTTTTGATCGACGTGAGCGAGGTGTGCTTTTTCACTTAGGGCCTACTCGCGTATTTGAAGATTGGAAACATCCCAGTAGATGAGGTAATATCTCCTAAACATCCGCTGAAAGTCTTTTGGGTGGGTTTTTTGGTTTTGTTTTGTTTCAGCTTAAATTTTTATTGCATATGTATTTCATTTGGTTCGGAATACTTGAGTGGCTCTTAAAATTTTTCGGATCTACATGCAGACGTGCTACTTGCTAAGGTAGGAATCCATCTTCTCAGCTCTGGCTGAGGGTGCCAGCAGTTGTGTCATTTTATCTCTCGTGAGGTAGAAAAGACCATATGCTCAGGGCAGGCTTTTGTTTCCAAAATGGGCAATGCTTGCAAAGTGCCAGCTAGGTTAGATCTTTTGCCACTTCTCTCATTTTATTAATTTGGGCTTTTAAAAGGGCTGTTTAAAAAAAAAAAAAAAAGCCGGGAAACTTTCAAAGTAGGCATTACTGTAGTACTACGTTTCTAAGAAAATTTTAAACTAGAACTCATTTTTTCATGGTGTATTTACTTGAAGAAGCACTATTATAATCAGTGAGAAATTTTTTGAGTCTGCAATTTAATTTAAACCTTTTCCGTTTCAAATTGCTTTATTTCAGGGAAATAATTTTCCAGTTGTTTTTTGCTATATTCTGCAAATAAAAACCGTATGTTTCCTTTTTTGACTTAAACTTTAGTAGGAAACAAACTAAAGCAGACAAACATTTCTTGTTATGTTTGTTGCTTTCTTTAATCCAATGGATAAAAAAGTAAAACCCTGTAAACATTATTTTATTTTTTTATGCAATACCATGCTGTAAATATGGTTCATCAAATAAGGATGTACCTATGATTGAATCTTTAATTCTGCACAGTTAGAGTTTATATATAAACGTGTCTTGACAATCAAGGACTTTTATGTGAGTCTTCCTTTATGATGTTTATTAATGTTATGCATTCCATTTGTTTTGAAGTGAATACCAATGTGCTAATTTGTATTGTCTGAAAGTATGTAATGTTTTTACAGCTTGTTTTTAAGAATCTGTAAATATGTACAAACAGATCACAGTACTGCTTTATGTTAGAAGGCATATGATGTTGTACTGTATGTAAGCAATAATACATAGCAGTGCTGACTTTACAAGTAGCATCAGGAAAGTTCTAAAAACATTTCAGAGTTATTAATTATCCTTATTTCATTTAATAATGATTATCTTTAATCAGTTTTTATAAGCAAATTCCATTGTTCCTCCTGTTGGAACGTAACACTGTTTACACAGCATAATTGAAGTTGCAGGGGAGACAGGCTAGATCTGACTGCAGCTATACTCACATCCACTAAGCATTGAATGGCCTTAGCACTCTGCTGCGAGACGGAGGAAGACCGCAAAGCTTAGTGCCCATCACACTGAAGGAAGGGGCGTGGGGTTTTTCCTGCTTCTGTACTGCTACCTAACCTTGTGGTTTGCTTTGGATTTTCATATTTGTTTCTGTTTTAGATTCAAGCCTGTAAGTTTTGAGATGACTTCAGCTCCTTTGTGAAATAGGTAGTTCTCTTCATATTTCATAGCTACATTTCAATAACTCTAAACTTTCTACTTTGATTTTTAGATACTTATTTTTCAAGCCTGATTTCTCAGCTGATCAGATGAATTTATTCAACTTCAATACAAAGAAAGAAAAACCTATTGTAGTTTGAAGTGAGTAGATAATATACTGTACAGAACAGCTAACTATTTGAACACACACATCACTGCTTTAGAAATAAAACCGCCAATTTATAAATGTATATGACTTACATTTTATAGGAGAAATGTTTTTAAATGCTAGTCATTTATATAATGTGCTTTGAAGGGTTTGCTAGTCCACTTCTGTCACTTTTTAGTACACTGGTATCTTTTATATGTAATGTATGCTTTTTATTATTGTAGCAAAGCATTTCAGTAGGAAGAATTTTGCAACAATATGGGGGAATTTTTCATTGTTGGATTTGAATTATACTGGATTTTATCTGTGTAGTCTTGTCTTTATTTTAATGCTGTCTGGAAGGGAACTTGGTATCCAAATAAAGCAGGTAACCTCATTTTACTTCAAGGGCATACTGTGTAGTGCTGAATTTAATCTGGAAATCTGATGATTTTGAAAAGAAAAACAAGTTTATAAAAATTGTACAGAAGAAATTAAATGTGTGATGGAAATCCTGACGGTGGAGCACGTTGAATTTTCTGGTATATATAGTGTTATTTTCCTGGGACTCCCTATGCCTTCTTTGTATTTCAACTAATAAAAGAAAAACCCTGTCACTGAAACTGGTAGGATAATAGGATATTCTGATGATACAGTATTACTTTTCCTATCCCTCTTCTGACCCTTTCTCAATCACTGTAAATTTTTATTTTCTATTGATAATTAAACATGTACATAATATAGATGCTGTTGTATAAAACTGAATGAATTGGGTTGCTGTGCTTGAATGGGTAGCTAAGTGGAAATATGTGATGCATACTGAGAACTGATACAGTGCCAGAGCAAATTTCCAGGGGTGCAGGTGGGCAGGGTGTCGCGTGTCTGGGGAAGACTGCAGCGGGTTGCCTCTTCAGCCCCCTAGGAAACAGTGTGAAGGCATCAACTGCAGACTCAGTATCAGATACAGAGTAGGTCTTTCCTTCCCCTCCTACCCTCTCCCATCCCCCACCCCTCCACCAAAAAAAAAAAAAAAAAAGAGCACTAAATTTCAAAATCTACTCAGGTGAAAATTGCTTTGCAATGAAACTTATCACATTGAAATTTTCACTGTTAAATAAAAAGATATTTGTGATATTTTTAAATACAAACTTTTACATCCGTAGTCAGCAGCCTGACAATTGAGATTTGGTAAGTCAGTATATTTTAAAATAGATTTTGTCCTCCAAATATAATTGTTTTTAAACAATTGGGAGGATTTTCTGTTTGTTTAAATACATTTTTATTGTCATTGTAAAAATAAAGTCTTGCTTGACCCCCGTATTATGCCATGAATGAATTTGCTGAGCCTTTATAATGCAATGAAACCTTGTTTCATGTGTACTCATGGAACATCAGAATGTTCTTCAAACTGACCTATTCATTAAGAGGTTTAATGACTTTCACGGCTTTTGGCAATACTGTCATACAGTTAACCTTGACGTTTGGAGTTTATAATACCATTTTATGTATTGTGATACTACAGGAAGTTGTTTTTGCTTTATTTTTAATTGAATTATTAGACTAACATTTGCAAATTCTGCATTTTAAATGTGGACACTGGCTGTTTGAAAAATAAAAAAATACAGAATACAGTTTAATGAATAATTTTCTAGCTGAATTTTTCACAGTATTCTGAACCAAATAGTTAATGGTAAATATGCAAAAACCATGGTACGCGGATAAAGAGAAAGGGATGTCTGTGTGGAATTACCAGTTACACAGATTGGGTACAATTATCAGGGCCTTTACTATAGCTTTGTGTGGAATGTTTATTTATTAATTCTAAAATGCAAGAGTTAAATGTTACTGTCGTTGAATATTTTAGACTTGAAATATGTTTAACATAGGGCTAAGAATATATACGATTTTTCTTTACAGATAAAGATTCTACTAACCCGCCATTAGTAGCATACGTTGGATTTTTTTCTCTTTGATTAGTGGAGATAGGTTTGTTTTCACCAGTCTACCACTTTGCCAGTGTGCTGTCACGTGACCAACGGGATGCATTGTCAGAAAGCAGTATGAGCCCAGGGAACAAATCTACACACACTGGCCCTGGCAGAGAAAAGTCCTAGGACGCTGGCCTTATTAGCATGGTGCTTTAACCAATTGTACGTAACAATACCACTGATAGTCTACGAATGCATTTCCTAGATCCCAGTTTTTCTTGAATGATTAGAGTTGGTGGGGAGAGGGGTGGGCAGAGATTCTACATGATACTTCTCCCACCTTCTGAACATTATAAGAAAAAATAAAATGGAAGTCACTTGAATTAATGTGTTGTCACTGAGTCTTACTTAACAGTTTTACCATGCACAAAATGAATATGAAGTTTTTTTGTCATTTATACATTTGAATAGAACATTAAAATTTTTATAGTGCTATTTGACATTTTTTTCCCTCCTTTGGTGACCCTGATAGGTATTCAAGTAAATACATGTGATAGATAAATAATCCATGGAGATGGAAAGTTTTAAGTGAGTTGAAACTAAAATTTGGGTCTCATGAGGTTAGTTCTTTTTGTCATTTTCAAGTAAAAGGGACATTTAGGTTGAAACGTCTTACCCAGATGCACATACATCTGAGTTAAGAGCTGGGATGTGAAATGTGAGGGTGCAGATGAGAATGATACCCTTGAAGTAATTTTCAAACCATAGGGTAAAACTCAAGATTAAGATTATAAAATAGAGAACATTTGAGTCTTTGCATATTTACCCACTTAGGCAGATGAGCTTTGAAGGCCATAGCTTTGTTAGTTTTCTCTGCTCTCCTGTTTTTTTTTTTTGTTTGTTTGTTTGTTTGTTTGTTTGTTTTGACAGGCAGAGTGGACAGTGAGAGAGAGAGACAGAGAGAAAGGTCTTCCTTTTGCTGTTTGTTCACCCTTCAATGGCCGCTGTGGCCGGTGCATTGCGCTGATCCGAAGCCAGGAGCCAGGTGCTTTTCCTGGTCTCCCATACGGGTGCAGAGCCCAAGGACTTGGGCCATCCTCCACTGCACTCCTGGCCACAGCGGAGAGCTGGCCTGGAAGAGGGCAACCGGGACAGAATCCAGCGCCCCGACCAGGAATAGAACCTGCTGTGCCAGTGCCGCAAGGCGGAGGATTAGCCTAGTGAGCCACGGCGCTGGACCGCTCTCCTGTTCTTAATAAAAATCTGATACTGTGGCGCTTGTGGTCAAAGTTGGGGAGGAGGCCCAAGAGGTGCACTTCTGCTGATTGGAATCCTGACTTGCTGAGACATCCATCATCTGCTTAGTACCTTGCATTGTATTCGATGCCAGTACTAGATGGTTGAGGCTACTCACATCTTTATTTGAGCCTGCGAGAGGTAGTTGTCATACTGCCAGTTACAGGTTGCAGTATTGTATTGCAACTACTGTGCTAAAGCAAACTAAAAATCTAAAATAAAAAATGTTAAGATATGTTTGGTAATGTGATGAGTAATTTACATCTCATTCCTTGACAAATAGGTAAGTACACTTGTTTCTTGCTTTAGGGTAGTTTTCTAGAAAATATTTTTTAAAGAATTTCGTTTATTTGAAAAACAGAGCTCCCATATGCTGGATCATTCCCCAAATTCCCGCAACAATTGGGGCTGAGCCAAGCTGTAGCTGGAAGCCAGTAGGTAGCAATCCAGGTCTCCTGTGTGGGTGGCAGAGGCTCAGCTACTTGATCTGTCACTTGCTGCCTCCCATGGTGCATATTATCAGGGAGCTGGAATCAAGAGCAGAGCCAGGACTCAAGGCCAGGTGCTCTACAGGGGATGAGGGGTGTTCCAAGTTGTGTCTTAACTACTAGGGAAAATGTCCCAAAATTGATTTTTTTAAAATATTTACTTTATTCATCTGAAAGGCAGAGTTACAGAGGCACAGAGAGGTCTTCCATCTGCTGGTTCATTCCCCAGATGGCCACAGTGGCCAGAGCTGGGCCGATCCAAAGCCAAGAGCCTGGAGCTTCTTTCAGGACTCCCACGTGGCTGCAGGGGCCCAAGCACTTGAGCCATCATCTACTGCTTTCTCAGGCGCATTAGCAGGGAGCTGGATCGGAAAGGGAGTAGCCTGGTGTCGAACTGGCACCCATATGGGATGCCGGCACAGCAGGCGGTGGCTGTACCCGCTATGCTACAGTGCCGGCCCCACCAAAATTTGAGTTTTAATAAATTGGTTCCAGAAAGTAGAAGACACAAACCAATATGATAGAGAATAGTCTCAGAAAATATCTCTTACTAAGAACACCAAACTTACCAATAAAATCAAAACCTGAGCTGTGGAAATGAGGAAATAGATTTTTTTAAAGAGACTTTGTTCTGAAGATGAGTGCTTCACAGGGCTTCCCAGACGTGAGGGTGAAGTAGACTGGTGGGTCACCTGTACCCCACTGAGGCTTGGAGCTGGGTGCTGGAGGATACTTGCCTAGACGAAGGGGAACTAAGTGAACCAAGGCCTGCATAGTTGTAGCAGTCCCCGTGGGAAGGTGTTCACCATTTAAATCCCTCGAAGTCATGCTACTGTTCTGTCTTCTCAGATTGGGATTTTAGGGTACCCTTCATGTTAAATAACTTCTGGTTCCTGGTTGTCTGATGCCCTCTCTTCCTTGAGCATTTTCTTCCAGGTGTTTGGGCCAACTATAACACAGCTTTCAAACTTCCTCTATGATAGTTTAACTTTGTTTCTTTATGGGCGCTCCAGTGCCATCCCTTCTGCAACCTTTGTAGGGTACAGTGTAAGGGTCGAGACTACCAGAACACAAAATAAAATGGCAGAAAGAGGACACAGCTGAGGAACCATGCAAAGACCACTCAGGAACGCACAGGAGACAACTCGGCTGGGAACAGTTGTGTGCATCTCCCAGAGCTGGCCCTCGTGACTGCCCAGCGGATGTTGGCACTCAGGCAGAGGAGTGCACAGAGAGCCTCATACTGTCTATGAAGAATGTGTATTTTTTTTAGGAAAGTGTGTATAAGGCAGCTTTAAATGAACTATAGGTTATTTTTTGTTGTTGAGGATGACTGAGAACAATGGGGTGAGCAGAGGACCAGGGGCTTTCAAATCGCAGCTCCGCCTTGTTCTATCTGTGTAGCCTTGTTCAAGTCACTTAACCTTTCTGAGCCTCCATTTTTTTAATCTGGAAAATGAAAAAAAAAAAAAAAACACAATACCTATCCAAGTTGCTGTGCTGTCAAGTCACTGGAGGTAACAGTTTGTAACATGTAACACTAAACCTTCCTGGTTCAGAGTTTGAAAGTGGCGGAAAGGCAAGATAGAGCAGAGCTGGGCAGACATTGGAAGCTTCCATTGTAAAGCAGATCATATAAGTACATCTGTGACTTTAAGGCAGTGTAGACTGAGCATCCCTAGTCTGAGAACACGAAATGCTCCACAGCCTCAGCCTTTGAGCACCGGTGTGGGGACGTCCACATCTGGAAGTGGGCATTTGGCCTCCAAGTTAAGCTGCCTGCATCTCATAGCAGTGTCTGGGTTCAGTACCTGGCTCAGCTCCTGACTCCAGCTTTCTAACAGTGCACACCCTGGGAGGCATCACCCAGTGATGGCTCAAGCAGTTGGTTTCTGGCCGGTCACGTGGGAGGCCTGGTCTGGCTCAGCCCTGACTGTTGTGAGCTTTTGGGAAGTGATACAGCGGATGCAGTCCCTCCCTCCCTCTCTCCCTCCCTCCCTCTCTCTCCCTCCCTCCTCACTGCTTTTCAAATAAAATAACTCCATGCTATTAAAAAAAATTACACACCTGACTGATGGTTTTCAGTGAACACACAGGTGTGCTAAACATTTTATATAAATTACTTTCAGGCTGTATGTATTATTTGTATGTGAAACAAATGAATTTCATTTAGGCTTGTGTTCCATCCCCAAGAGATATTGTGTATATGCAAATGCGCCAAAACATGAAAAAAAAAAGGTGGAATCAAGCACTTTTGGTTCCAAGCACTTCAGACAAGGGTGATCCAACCTGTATTATCCTTAAAGAGATTGAAAAAGAAATGAGAGAATTTGTTTGAATTTAAGTAACCAGCAAGGAATAACTCTTCAGTGAGGTGGAAGTGATAGGAGTTTTGTAAGGAAGAGAATTGTTCCCTGATAATTTATGTTCACTGACAAATGGAGTGCAGGGTGTTAACAACACATGCCCCAGACTTTACCATTGCAATTCAAAAAGCTCAAGTTTAAAAAGTATGATTCTGTTACCAGAAGTCTGAAAGGGATGGAACAGTCTGGAGAATGTCTTAATACTGACATAAATTGCAACGAAAGGCAGAAATATGAAACTAAGGGAATATATTGAGGTGGAAGTGCCCAGTTTCTCACTTCCAAGCTGTTGATCAGTCGTGAACAGGTGCCTGGCTGGCCCATGAGGCAAAAGCAAAATTCAGACCATGAGGTAAGGATGCCATAGGCAGTGGACCAGCAGGAGGAAGGGGCACGTGTCTGCCGGTGTTGGGCCTTCTCCCCTTTTGTGCTTGGCCGTCGAAAGGTGCATGTGGATGTGATTGAGGGGAGGGTCCGGGCCCTGTGAGTTACCTCGCAAGGTGCAAAGAGGAACACTGCCGGAAGTGTGACAATCTCTGGGAAGTGGCAGTAGGACCAGAACGGTGGTCATGTGATTTTCCGAAAGCAAGGGGAAACTATCTTGGTAACTCTGCCAGGAGGCCTGGCAGGTCTCTGTCATTAACTCCATGTTACACCTAAGGAAACAGGCTCAGATCTGGACCTGACCTCTCATCTAAACTCTTGGAGGTCCACCATTGGGTCTTCCCTATGTGATAGCTAAGTACATGCGGAATGCTAATCACATTGTTTCCTGTCCAGTAAGGCTGCCACTGTCATTATCCAATAAAATGGATCCTGTTTATCAGGCGTCTGTCTGCATCGTGTGTTTCCTCATGCTCCCCCCAGGTCCTGGTCAGCAACAGACGCCAGGTGGCTGATGGAGAATGACTGTCTTGTCAGAGGGCAAACTCCCTGAGTCAACAAATAGCTTAGATCCTGGAGGAGAAACCTGCTCAACAGGAGCTGGGGCCACCTGACAGCAGGATGGTGGAGGCCCTGCCCTGGGAAGCCAGAGCAAGAGCCAAGTCTCCCTGGGCTTCCGCGGCTCCCAGGCTGTGGGAGGGACTCTTCCGTCTGGTTTCCGCCTCCTGGGTCTTCCCCTTCCAACTCCCTGAAGTGTCTGGCAGCCCTTCAGAGAGCCCTCTCCTGGGCCTGGGGCTCTGGGAAACCGCTTTCCAAAGTCCAGGAAGCAGGAAAATCTTTTTCTGTCTTAGCTCTTCATTTGGGTTAAAGAGGCTACATTTGTGTAGAGAACCTGATATTGGGATGAGAGAGAGAGCTTCAAGTGCTGGCTCCACCTTTCAGAGCCGCAAGAACTTTCCAAGCGTGTGCAGGGTTCCTGTGACGGTGTGCCCTGGGGAAGGGACAGCACAGTGACCAAGCCGAAGAAACGTGTGCGTGCACTGGCAGTAAGTTACCAGTGTGTGCGCATGCGTGTGCAATAAATTACCTGTGTGCGCGTGCGCAGTAAATTACCAGTGTGTGCGCATGCGTGTGCGGTAACTTACCGGTGTGTGTGTGTATATGTGCAGTAAATTACCTGTGCTGCCTCATGATACATGTCACACAACTCAAAGCTGCAACCAGAGTAAGACACCATCGCCAAGAGGATGTACTCCCGTGTTTTGGAGCAGAGGGACAACTGATGGGCTAGGAATCCCATAATTTTCATCCTTGGCTGCACTTTAGAAGCACTCAGGGAACTTAGAGAAACGCTGATGCCCAGGGCCCACCCAGACCTGTTAAGTAAGTGAATTGGAACCTGTGAGTGGGGGTTCCCGAGGTGTTGGTATTTTCAGATGAGGGGTCCACACCAGACTGGCTGACCCGCCCCTGACTGGTTCTCAGGCCGAGGCTGTGAAGCACGTCTTGGTGTGCATACCTTTTGACATCATGACTGCATGTTTTCAGCCCGCGTTCACATTTCTGCGCTGGTTCACTCGGTTCAGGCCCTGCCCCAGAGCTCGGATTTTCTGCCTAATGAGGTCCTCCTTCGTTGTCAGCCGTCACACAGAAGGCAGCTCTGAGCCCCAGGCAGCCAGGGAGGAGGTGCAGGGGCTTCTGCCTGTGGCATCGCTGCAGAGCAGCAGCCTCACAGGGTGGGACTTGAGCTTCGCTTGTGAATGAATACAAAAAAGGGTGAGTTTAATAATAGGTTTTTTTTTTTTTTTCCATAGCTGGGCTGCAGTCACAGTGCATTCAAACAATGAAATAACTACAAGTGCTTTGAAAGGAAGGTTTCGCTTTGCTTGGATGGACGGTGTATTCGCTGTCTTTCGATGAGTCACAGCGACAGGGAAGATGTATGCTCTCTCTGGGTTCCTGTGGGTCGGGAGTCCCGACAGGGGCCGGCAAGCAGGGCTCGTCGTTCGCCAGCCGCGTCTGGGAGCTCAGCTGGGGCTGGCGCCGTCGGAAGGCGGGTTCTCCTCACAGGTCTGCCGCGGGCGGCGGCTGCTGGCCGGAGCCCACAGGTAGCCTCTCCGTGTGGCCAGGGCTTCCTCGCAACATGGCAGCCGAATCCTCAGGGGAAGTGCGCGGGGGTGAGGCCGCCCTGCGGACCCTTCCTGCCTTTAGGACCCCAGCCTATGAACTCAAGCAATGGCACTGCTTCCCTTGCCCCCCTGGGCTGAGGTGCTTAGGCTCGCGGAGAGGGAGCACAGACCCCGTCTCTTCGTAAGACTCTCCACTTAGGATAAGGGCATGTGGGATGGGATCTCAGCACGGTCGTCTTGGGAAAATGCAGCCACCTCCATATTTTTTCTTAATTTTTTACTTATGCACTCCTCCCCCAGATTTTGAAGTAACATGTACTCACTGTAAGACAAAAATTCAATATTTATACTCCAAAGTGGATTTTGTCTCTGGCTTTCCTCATGACCTCAATCCCATATCATAGAGATAACCACTACTAACAGACCGGGGTGTGTTTTCCTACACAAACCATCTATGTATATAAATATATACTCCTTTTTTCAAAAGTAGCACACTGCATACACCATTATTCTGCAGTTGGCTGTTTCCATTCATTATTATGTGATGAACAGAGTTCCGTGTTTGTATATACAAACATACCTTATTCTTTCTAATGCTGACTTTTATAATAGGACTGACCATAACTTATTTAATCAGTCTTCTGTTGACAGATAGTTAGGTTCTCATTTTTACGAAAAATTACAAAGTAATGGACGTCCTTATGCTAGGTCATGTCGGGTAGTATCTTAAAAATGGAAATGTTTGTTCAAAGGATATGCAGGCTACTATTTTTTAACACAAGAATGTAGGGGTTTTTTTTTTTTAAGATGAATGTCATTGTTATAAATCTACAATAAGCAGGATATACTGTTTTCTTTGCAAATGGGCAGGTTTCTATGTCTAACCTTAGCGTGAAGAAAAGAAACAAACACATTTGTTTAGGAGATGCCTGTAAGCTCTGAAGGGAACTTCTCATTTATTTGGAAGATGACAAGTGGCAGGAAGTAGGTGGTCACTAAGAAAGGGGTGGATTTCCGGTTCTAATGTTTTTAATTTAGTCTATTATGGAATTGGATGTGGATTTGTCAGAGTTCACAGTGGTGCTTAGAGGCAGGCTGATGGCAAACAGGAAATTGGGCAAGGCCAAAAAAAGAGAGAAGGGAGTATCATGTGCCACGAACAGTGAATGAGAAAGATGACCGTACTGGCCGCACAGGTGCATGTATGGACAATGACCTTGTCACCTGGTCCACCTGGTCAGCCTTCGTTCACAGAGGGCTAGCCTGTCACTCATCCTGCGGTTCTGTCTCCTTGCGGAGAAGGCTCACTTAAGACATCTTGCCCAGGCGCAAAGTTCTGAACGCTCTACCATATGGGTGAACCTTGAGGACATTCTGCTAAGTGCCATAATGGACACCAATGGGACGAATATTGGGTAGGAAGTATCTGAGATTGGCCAATCCAGAGAGATGGAGCAGGAGAGGGTTCCTGGGCTGGGGATGGGAGGAAGGAGTCCCTGCTCCAGGAGTAGGACCTTGGGTGGTGGTGGTCCTGGCACAACGTGCATGGTGAGTGCGACTGACAGCACTACACAGGGCACTGGCGGCAGTGCAAGTGGCAAATGGCTCGGTCTGTGTGTTCACTCACGGCTTTGCTGCAGCACAAAGAGGTTAGGGCTCGGCTGCTCTGGCTCTGCCCTCCCTCTTGTTTTTAAAAAAACAAGCTCTATTTTTAGAGATTTTCACACAAAGGCCCATGGGCGTGGGAAGCACTCCCAGCTGCCCTCCTGCTTCTCAGAAGCCCACATGGAAGCAGAGGGAGTTATTTAAGGTCTAGGAAATATGCCAGATTGGAAACTGAGATAATTTAATCTCTCTGAATGTTAATTTCTCCCCCACCCCCTGCAGCCCCAGGCCTCCGAAACCTTGTTTCACCCTTGGGAAAGGGGCTGGGGTCTTGTTCAGGGTGGTGAGGGCGCTCCCCCTACGGCGCTGCAGGCCTGTTGCCAGCCCGCTCCGGGCTTGGGCGGCCCCTGGTCGCGCTTGGGGAGCCCTGGCGCGCGGGGTCAGTTTCTGGTCCCCAGGTGTCTCCCTCATCCGCGCCGCGGCTGCGGGACCAGAGTGGGCGCGGCCCGGGCCTTCCTCATCGTCCCCGCGCCGGACACCTTGGCCGAGGGCGTTGAATTACTTAGCAGGGGGAATGGGCTTGCGCACCCTCCCTCGCCCCTCTCCTCGCCCACTCGGGTTGATTTTCGTCCCCTGCTCTAGGACCCGTCATCGCCGGGGCGGCGGCAGGTGTGCGGGCGACTCCCGGGGACAGGAGGGAAAGCCCCGCAGCCCCCTCCTTCCCTCCTAGACCGAAGATCCGGACGTGTTGGCGGGGCTAAGGTGCTCGAGCCGGGGCGGGAACCGCCTGGCCAGCGGGACATCTGGGACCCGGACAGCCACGTGGCGGGGGCGGGGACGGGGCGCGCCCGCGCTCGGCGCTGGGAGTGCGCAGTCCCGGGAACAGGTGAGGGCGAGCGCACGGGGCGAGGGCGGGGGTGGGGTGGAGGAGAGGGAGAGGGTGGTCTCGGGGACAGCCCCTCTCCCCAGTGGGATTCTGGGCCGCTTGCCCCGGCTCAGGGGGATGTTGCCGTCTGGCTGGTCACCGACGCAGGTGGGCTCTGCCGCGCCGCCCACGACCCTGGGACTCGCGCTCCGAGCCCGGTGCTCCCCGGGGTCCCGAGAACTTGGGGTGGGGCTGTGCGTCTTCCGAGGAGTGCCCAACGGACAGGAGACGTGAGAAGTCGGGGCTATGCCCAGGAGTGGCCTGGGAAGTGGGGCGTGCGAAGCGGGCCGCCCTTTTTACGCGTGCCGCCGCTGTGGCCGGACCCCGGGCCAGCGAGTCCCCGCAGTCTCAATGGCTTTACCCTGTGCCCAAGCCTCCCTCGACACATAGGCTGCTATCACAGGTCCAGCTCCTCCTTCCAAAAGGTCATGAGCTCTGCCACAAGGTCTCGGCTCCCCCCCGCCCCCCGCCCCCCGGCCGTGCCGGTGCCCAAGGACGGTCCTGCCCTGGTGATGATGCACAGTCTCTCTCCGCCGTCGGTCTCTGGCGGTGCTCAGAAGGGGTCCTGTCGCCGAGCCCACTGCGAGTCCAGTTCGCGCTCACTCACCGCCTGCCGCAGTTCCCGTGGGGCCACGGTGCCCTTGCGCGGGGGCCTGGGGGAGGAGTGTCAGCTGTGTCCCCACCGCGGAGCCGCTGCTCGGTGGCCCTGAGCCCAGCTCTTCTCTGACCTCGGGGTGGAGAGGAAGAACTGGGGCAGCTGTGGCTTTAGGACTGCAGAGCCTGGGCGCAGGGGGGCTGTGCGTGGGCTCTGTTGGGTACCAAAAAGAGGCTAAGAAGGGGTTTCCAGGTGAGGGGGAACCAAGTTCCGCCTTGCTCCCAGGCCTTGCCTAACAGAGGGGAAGCACGGGCAACAGCGGGAAGCTGGGAGGAGAAGAAAGGAGCCTTCTGACCGCGGATGGTCTTTACCTTCCAGACGGGGTCCCACCTGGAGCCCCAGGACCTCCACTTCCACGAGCATGGCCCAGATGTCGCAGGTGCAGGAACTCTTCCACGAGGCAGCCCAGCAGGTAGGCCAGGAGGGCACAGGGTCTGTGATGGAGCCAGGGTTCACCCCAGCAGAATAGAGGCTCTCCGGTGCACGATTGTAAATGCTCTTATCTCAGAGGTTTATTCTAGATCAATTCAGGAAATGTTATAGCAGTTCTACCAAAGGCATCCAGAAAACCTCTGGCGTTTCTTGAGGTGGGTTCTGAATCCTGGGCCCCACCCTGTGGTGGAGGTCTTCTCTGGACAGAGTGAGCTCTCAGAGAATAGGAATTCTTTGACATTTTGAAGCAAACCAGTGTAAAAGGGAACTTTCTTTCATCTGACTGAATTAGATGGATTTCTGGATTCCTTGAGGTGTGCTGGGTTTTTGCTTTTGTTTTTCTCTTTCTACTCCTTGGTGGTCATTACTTACAGTAAACATGCAGCCTGGATATATGGAATTGAAGTGATCCTCCCCAGAAATAGAAGGATTCCTTAAGAAGTAACAAACAGACGCCAGACTGGCATCTGATCCAGCTCCCTGTTAATGCACCTAGGAGAGCAATCAGAAGGTAGCCCAAGAGCTTGGGCCCTGCACCCACGTGGGAGACCCAGATGAAGTTCCTGGCTCCTGGCTGTTGTGGCCATTTGGGGAGTTAACCTATGGGTGGAAGATCTTTCTCTGTTTCTCTGTGTATCTGTCTCTCTAACTCTGCCTTTCAAATAAATAAATAAATCTTAAAAAAAAAAACAAAACACGTAGGTGTTTATAGGAAGCTACTTGTACCCGGTGCTTTATCACATATGAAGTTTTCACTGCCCTTTGGATTTCTCTCATGCTTTTTTTTTTTTAAGTGTTTATTTATTTATTTGAAAGGCAGAGTTACAGAGACAGAGACACAGACAGAGACAGAGAGATCTTCCATCCACTGGTTGACTCCCGAAATGGCCTAAATGGCTGGAGCTGGGCTGATTCGAAGCCAGAAGCCAGAGCTTCCTCTGGGTCTCCCATGTGAGTGGCAGGGGTCCAAGCACTTGGGCCACCTTCTGCTGCTTTCCCAGGAGCACCAGCAGGGAGCTGGATTGGAAGTGTAGCAGCCCAGACTTGAACTGGCACCCTTTGGGATGCCAGTGCCACAGGCTGCAGCCTTACTCCCTATGCCACAGCGCCAGATCCTCTTTCCTGCTTTATGGAGAAGAGGCAGGAGGGTTTCCCAGCAGTGAAACAGGGGGAAGAGGAGAGAGGACCAATTCAAGGCTTCATGCAATAGCAGGAGAACAGGATCCACAAGCATCCCAAACTAAAGGGCAGAGGATATTGTTGAAGATGGGGCTTGGAGGGTGTGGGAGGAGCCAGATGGGCTAGTTACCTTGTTTCTGTGCACTGTACGTGGAAAATGCAGCATGCTGGCAGGTGGAAGTGCTCACAAGAAGTGCCCCCCCACACACACCGCGCCACACATAGGCAGGCCGGGGGCAGTGCTCCTGCACCCTCGGTAGTTAGCTCCTCATACCCAGCTTGAAGCATTCCAGCTGCTTCCAGATGAACACCTGGAAACTCAGAATAGCTCTTCCAATGCATTTCCGAACTGTTGGCCAGAGCTGTTCACTCCTGGCTGAAGAGGCCTGGGGCCATGATTCTGAGGGACTCAGAGAGCTGTCTGGGATCTTGTATCCAGTTTAGCAGGTCTCTCCCATACTCCCCAGCTGTCTCAGTCTTTATCTAAGTGTGCATGCTCTCAACATGTATTTGTGGGCTACTTCTTCACTAGTGGCTATGTATTTAGCATGAGAAGGAAACCCAGATGCAAACTGTGAGACCCCAGGAATTCCCAAAGGAAAAATAATATAAAGGAATCTCAAAAAGTTCATGGAAACTGGAATTGAAAGATAAAAATATAGGCCTGCACCACGGCTCACTAGGCTAACCCTCCGCCTGTGGCGCCGGCACCCTGGGTTCTAGTCCCGGTTGGGGTGCTGGATTCTGTCCCGGTTGCCCCTCTTCCAGGCCAGCTCTCTGCTGTGGCCAGGGAGTGCAGTGGAGGATGGCCCAAGTCCTTGGGCCCTGCACCCGCATGGGAGACCAGGAGAAGCACCTGGCTCCTGGCTTCGGATCGGCGCAGTGTGCCAGCCATAGCAGCCAATTTGGGGGGTGAATCAATGGAAAAAGGAAGACCTTTATCTCTGTCTCTGTCTCTCACTGTCTAACTCTGCCTGTCAAAGAAAAAAAAAAAAGAAAGAAAGATAAAAATATAAACTTATGTTCTCAACAACTCCATAAGTTAAAGGCACTTTCGTAAGTGATGCTACCAGCCATGCCTAAAAAAAACAGGAGGTCCTGGGAATTTAGACCACATATTTAGTCTTTTTTTTTTTTACATTATAAAATGAAGAAAAGTGGGTGCCCTCAAATGATTTTTTTAAGATTAGGAAACAAATAGAGACCACAAGGAGCCAAATCAGGATTGTAGGGTGGATGCCCATGATTTCCCATTGAAAGTCACACATTTGCTCTTAGCAGATACAGGAATGGGCAGGAACATGGTTGCTGTGGAGAAAGACTCTCTGATGAAGCTTTCCTGTGGGTTTTTCTGCTAAGGCTCTGGCTCACTTGCTCAAAACACTCTCATCAGTGTCTTAATAAATAGATGTCATTGTTCTTTCACCCTCCAAAAAGTCAACAAGGAAAATGCCTTGAGCATTCCCCCCCACCCCCACGCCTACCCCCAATAATTTGACCTTTGCTTGTGACTAGGCCTCTTCCACCTCTTGGTAGCCATTGCTTTGATCATGCTTTGTCTTCAGGATCATCCTGGTAGGTTCATGTTTCAGCTCCTGTTACAAATTTTAGGAGAAACACTTCAGGATTTTGATCTCACTTGTTTAAAATTTCCACTGAAAGCTCTGCAGCTAATCTGGGCATAACAGCTTTGACACCCATCAAAGGAAAAATTTGCTCCACTTGAATTTTTCTGTAACAATTGTGTAAGTTGAGCCAGTTGAGATGTCTTTGGTTTTGGCTGTTGTTTCTCCTCTTACTCATTGGTCCTTTTCAGTTAGGGCATGAACAATATTAACCTTTTTGTCGTGTATTGGTGTGAATGATCCGCTGCTGTGTGCTTCATCTTCAGTGTCCATCTGTAATCTGCTGACTTCCTCGGGGCATTGCTCCTGTAACCAGGGGTGGGGAACATCTGGCCCAGGGGCCATATTTGGTCCAGCCTTTTCAAGGCAACTGTAGGTTGGACTTGATGTTCAATAAATCTGTGGCAGGTGAATTTTTAAATTGATCATGTTTATGGCCTGCAAATGATGTTAGAAATATTCAAATGATCCTTGGTAGAAAAAAAGGTCCTCATCCTTGTGATAAACTATAAAGCATTGGTGATCTCACCATTCTTCGCCATAATTTGATGTTTGCTCTTTCTTCAATTCTAGCAGAATTTGTGTTGCCCTAATAGGGGTGCCTTTCAAACTGGTGTCATATCTTAGTGCCCCTAACTAAATCCTGTTCAAACATGTTATAACACACTAGGACAAGTTCATTGTGGTGCAAAAATTTTGAAATCCATGGATAGGTTTCTTTTATATATATATATAGATTTATTTATTTATTTGTAAGGCAGAGTGACACAGAGAGAGAAGGAGAGGCAGAGAGAGAGAGGTCTTCTATCCACTGGTTCACTCGCCAATTGGCCACAACAGCTGGAGCTGTGCCAATCCGAAGCCAGGAGCCAGGAGCTTCTTCTGGGTCTCCCACGTGGGACATCTACTGCTTTCCCAGGCCATAGCAGAGAACTGGATCAGAAGTGGAGTAGCCGGGCCTTGAACTGGCACCCAAATGGGATGCTGGCTTTGCAGGTGGCCATTCACTATACCACAGTCCCGGCCCTGGATAGGTTTTTATCATATATATTCTCCACGAACTGTTTGACAACCCCTTGTAAGACATTCTGTGAACTGAGAAGAATCTGCTGAGGCTTAGCTCTGCCCCCGCCCCCTGTGCAAAACCTTCACGTGCCCCCCATGTTCACTGCCCAGTGTTCAAGCCCCTCGGGCCAGGCCTTGCACAGTCTGGCCCAGCCTGAATTGTGAGTCTGGTTTCCCATCTGCTCCTGCTCATGCCCCACTCTCTGGCCAAGCCCCTCCACCTGCTGTGCTCGACTTTCTCCTGCTCTGGCCTCTGCGCATACTTCTCACTCACTGATTTTTCACCGGAACTCTCCCAGTACCCAAGGCAGCACCGGGCCTTTTAATGGACAATAAATATTGGCTGAGTAACCAAATGAACAATGAGCAGATAAGCCCAATGTGAGTTAAGTTGTCTTCTGTGCCCTAGAAAGAGTGTATTTTTAAAATAAAAAGGCCTCTGTGTCACATCCTTTCTCAATATCTGAATACTGAGGGACTGGACAAAGCCCAAGCAATGGCCTTTGGGGTTCACTCTTTGGACACATTTGAAATCCATTGCTTTTTCTTTTCTTTTTAAAGATTTATTTATTTTTTTTATTTGAAAGAGTGACAGATGGAGAGAGAGATCTTCCATCTGGTTCACTCCCTGGTTGGCCACAATGGCTGGAGCTGTGCCGATCTGAAGCCAGGAGCCAGGAACTTACTCCAGGTCTCCCACGTGAGTGGCAGGGGCCCAATTACTTGGGCCATCTTCCACTGCTTTCCCAGGTGCATTAGTAGGGAGCTGGATTGGAAGTGGAGCAGCTGGAACTCGAGCCCATATGGGATGCCAGCCTCGGTGTTGCAGGTGGTGGCTTACCTCACCACTCTGCAACTATTTCTTGACTGAATTATCCGTGCCTCCTAACTTTTTCCCCTACATTGCTGTTTTTTCTCCCAGTGCTTTTAAAATAGAAAATGTTGTTCTGTGCACTGAACTCCCCTGCTCAAAGCTCTTCTGTGGCATCTCCCTGACTTCAGATTCCAGCTCAAAGTCCATATCTTGGCCCTGAGAACTCTGATCTGAGCTACCTCCCCTGCTCCCCGCACTGCTGCCCTTAGCATGTGGCATCGAAACAAGTTGTTTTGT